GCTATCTCTACGCGGTGTTCCTCTGGGCATTCCACTACTCCAAAAATCTTATCAAGCGTCCGGATCCATTCTTCTAGGACCGCGGGATCCTCTTCTCCCGAAAACGTGGGTGGTCGGTGATTTGAGGCTTGTCGGGTGACGTCCGAGTTTGCGTTTGATGGAGGCGGTGGGGGCCTATTGTTGCGAAGGGCCGCGTCACTTAGTGCCTGTGCGACTTGTGTTAGTTGCTGCAGGGTTTGGGTCAAGGGGTCGTCGGTGGCGGGCTCTGGAGTTCTGGATTGCCTTCTGTTTGGCGCCATGCTATCGTCTTTCTGGTCAGTGTTTATAAGAATGTTAAGTTAGAGTCTGATGCACTTCTTGTGAAGTGATGAGTGGGGAAGGGTAACGTGTAGAGAAGTTATGTGTAGGTTTCACAATCTCACCGCGCGTCCTAAGATTCCTGAGTCCTATGTTCCTAGGTACCTAGAGTTCAAGCCTAACGTCCTAAAGTCCGGTCTTAAGAGTCTTTTCCTAGGGTCAAACTTAGGCTCTGATACCAACTGTAACACTCCAGATTTTCAAGACATTTTAAGCTTATATAATAAAGGTAATATCTCATTACATCCCAAAGTATATCATAAGTGTACGGGGTGCTATGCCACACCTGGGCTAGAGAACCCAGGTGCACAGGCTGTCTAACTAATATCCATTGAAACACAATGCATAATATGGCACGCAGGCCGAAAGGGAAACTACTCTACTTCTACGCTCCAGTTCTAGCGCGCTCCAGTGCTCTAGTCCTCTGTGCCTGAAAGCCAAATATATCTGTTCAGCGAGAGATGCTGGTAACCCACTCCAACGCGTTGAAATACAATACATATAGAGATATATATAGATATACGAAAACCATTTTGAGCATGAAGATATATCCTACGAACTCTAGCTTTAAAACCGGGAATGACCAACAGGTAAGGCCAGACACAAGCAACAGTTATAACGAGCATATGCAGTTCACAACAGATAAGGCAGATAAAGCAAAGCATAAACAATGATCATAACCCAACATGAACAATCCCCAATATAAATCCCATAGTCACATCCCCCAAGACACTCGTAATCACAACTCGTCCATGTCACAGCACATAACACACTTTGTTGGCGCCACAGGACCAATCGCATGCCCATACATGAGGGTCAGCGCATATAGCTCTGACACGGCCCCGCAGCACCCTGCCCCGTATCGCAACACGGAGGGGTCTATCGCAACCGACCGATGAACCGCAGCTCATCATAGTGTTTGATCGCAACCAAACAGTGGACCGCAGCCCAAGAGAATGTCATCTGACCGCAGCCAGGAAAAAGGACGAACCGCAGCTCGTATAGAAACGTTTGATCGCAACCAAACGGTGGACCGCAGCCCAAGAGTATCAATCTGACCGCAGCTAGCTTCTGAACCGCAGCTCAGGATAACCAATCCGATCGCAACCGAATTGGGGTAACACACACATAACACATAGCAAGCACATGCAACCCACATTACACATTAGGAAGGGGGAGAAAACGTATAACAAAACCTATGCGTGATCCATCACTTACTAAGAATAGTCCTAAGGGGTTCATACTTCTTCCACCTAGGTCAACGGGATACCAATTCCACTAGCATGCAATATAATAAACTCATAAACCTACGAACGGTACCCGAAACATCAAACTAGACATAGGCACGATAAATGGAGTCCGTTGGGACACCACGGGTAACGGGGAACATCAAACGGGGAAGCCGGGGTCCCGGGTGGGACAATTTTCCAACGGGTAGCCGGTGGGTGGGGGCCACCCGCGGCTGCCCGCCGGATTCTACTGTTCCGGGCAGCGGGTCGCCGGCGGGCAGCTGCCCGCCTGCCGGCCACCCGCTGCCGGGCGGTGTTTTACGGCCATGGGTAGGTGGCGGGTCCCCTACCCCCCACTGACTCTTTTCATCACTTTTCGCCCCGGGAACCGTTGTGGAACCCGAAACCATGCTTAGATAGTTTTCAACGCAATTAACAACAACACGTAGACAATTAACGAATCAAATACAAGAAACGAACGGCACATAACCTATCATGCTTTTCTAAATATAATCAACACCCAAACATGCGATTTCCCCACCCAATAATCCAAGAATAAGATTATACGATACAACCTAGGGTTCCAATCACTTTTATATCAACAAGAATACGGTTCGTCTTCTAATTGCAAGATTCGGTAAGAATAACACATAAACATCAAGAGCATCACACAATTATCAAGAACGACACATAACCATCAAGAACTCCATATAATCATCAAGAATTCCATAATCATCAAGAATCTCCCAATATCAAGATTATCAAGATCTCTCATGGGATCATCACATCAAACATCAATAATAATCATCATATCTCGCCAATACACAATAATATGGGGGAAACCCTAAGGGGGAATCATAGCTATGAAAATAGGTTTTGTTGAGACATGGGTTACCTCTTAGCCTTAATTAATTCCTTGGCTATGAAGGATCTTTCTTTAAGCTTCCTTGCTTTCTTGATTTCTCCTAAGGGGATTCTTGGAGCTCTTTTGGGGTGGTGGGGCGTTATTTTTGTGGGAAGTTCTAGGTGCCTCCTAAGTCCCCTATTTATATATTTAGGAGTCCTAATTAGGAACTAATATTATAGGCTCGCTAATTCTATTCCTTTTGGAACTAAGGATTGGGTTTAGGGGTTGGGTTTATATATGAGGGCCCATGGACTTTGGTGGGCCTTTTTCCCTAATTAATCATTATTATTTATTCTTTCTCTTGGGCTATTGATTAATTAATTAAATGGTTTTAGGGGCCGTAACACGGGGTGTTACAGCACCCGCGGGGTACATAGTGCCTCGTGGGTTGGTACCCGCGGGGAACACTGTTGGACGATGGTGGGGATTTGTTCCCCGTGATTCTTTTAACTCGGTTTTGATGTTTTGACCTCCCGAAGTTGTTTTATTGGGCCATTTGTGAGTCATCCTGATATTTCGTATGTCTAGAACGGTATGTTAGGAATCCATGTAGGATTTGGTGTCTTGAATCGTGCTAAGGGTCTGACTTTGTGATTCGTTGGACTATTGTGAGTCTTGAATGTTCTATGGAACTGCTTTTGGTTTACCCGTTTGATAAGCACGCTAGTTTGATGTTGAAAGGCTAGTATGTGCGATTTGTTCTTCCTTATTGGGATTGGCAACTTGTGTTGATCATCGTTTGGTGTCGGATTGTGATCCTTCGTTGTTGAGTATGGTTTCATGTATTTATTGTGATCCATTGATTGATTCCTATGATATGAACGCATGTAATCGTTGTACCCTTTGATTGATACTTGATTAAGGTTATTGTGGAACCTTAGTCTTCTTGGTAATGATGATCACTTGTGTGACTATGATTGAATGTGGGTGGTTGTCACTTGAGCTTTACTCACATGTAGGTGGTTGTGTGAATGAAATTAATGGTACCCTCGTGTACTGAGAGTTCGGCGGTATGTTAGAGGCTAAGTTGGAGGGGGGGGGGGGGGGGGAACGGTCCCTGGCGGTACAAGGTTGGACTTAAAAGTATAGGGTGGCACTAGAAGGTAATCGTTGAAACTGAAATAAGGTCGGGGGTAACCATAAGGTTGGAACAGGGCATAAGGTTGGAACTATGAAACTTGTGACATGTAGTTGTCACTGTGGCATGTAGTTGCCGTTGTGTGAATGTGTATTCTTTGCTAATGAGCATGTCTTGATGTATTCTACTTTGTGATCAGTAGAATGCATCTCGAGTTGTATTGTCTTTCATGTTCTTGTCGTGTTATTGTTGTAAGGATGGTGAATCCTTTTCCTTTTGAGAGTGTGAATGAGTCCTTGAAGTTTACTTCTCTCTATGGCTTTTGAAATGATATATACTCTATTCCGTTTCAAAATGGCTTTGACTTATACATATCTATATATGCTATTTAACGCGTATTGATGGGTTACCAGCAATGTTCGCTGACCGGGTGTTATTCCCATATTTTTCCCTTGTTCTACAGGTTTTTAGTAGATGCCCGAGAGCGCTAGACTTGGATCGATAGATAGCTTAGTCACCTTGTCTAGACGTTATGTTTTGTTGGCCTGTGAGCCTTTTGAGGGCCCTCTGTGCCTTGACTCTTTATGACTTGTTTAAACTGTTTAGTTTTCCCTCCTGTGCATCTTTAGTACTTTAAGATGTGGCATAATACCCCCGTTTAGGCTTTCTTCAGCTTAATGTTTAATGGATGTTTAGATTGCTTATCTCTTGCCTTTTTAGGTTTTAAAAATGTGGTAAAAATCGCGGGTGTTACAGTTGGTATCAGAGCCTAGGTTTGAGCCTAGTATGTTAGAGTCTGGACTTTAAGAAGTTAAGTGTGGTTTGAGACCATAAGACGACCTTTATGTACTTAAGTGTTTAGGACTTAGGACTTTTAGGACGCGTGGTGAGCTATGTGTTGTTTACCGTTTGTTATGTTTGCTTTGTTGTTTCTGTTTCGTTTTAGCGTTCTTGTAGTTAGCGCTAGGTAGGGTGCGTTGTTTGTTTGTGCCTTCCGTAACCGTGTTGTTGTTGTAGAAGTTTCGTCATGGCTCCGCCTCATCACCGCGCCCGTACGCCTGAGACGCCGACCTACGAGCAGCTGGCTCAGAACTTGCACCATCTTACGCAAACGATGCAGACGCTAAGTGAAGCCCTTCTGCACAACAACAACCCTGCTCCTCCGCCGCTGCCTGCCGGGAATCGGGATGTGGGATGCTTAGTCTTGGGACATAGGCCACCAGTGTTCGCTGGAGAGGAGGATCCCGTGATACTCGAGGAGTGGATCCGGCCCCTCGATAAGATCTTCGCCGTTGTGGGTTACCCTGAGGATCACCGAGTAGAGCTGGCTTCTTTCTACTTCAGTCACGAGGCAGATCTCTAGTGGGTGCACGAGGGTCCCACGTGTCAAGAAGAGCCTGGTTTCGACTGGACAGCCTTGAAGAACAGGATGAGAGAGAGGTTTTATCCATCGCACGTCCGAGCCGCCATGTACGAGGAATTCTTGCACCTTCAGCAGGGGTCGTCATCTGTGGTGGAGTACCACAAGCCCTTCTTGGAGCTTGTGCATTTTGCTAGGATGCTGATTCCTACCGAGCTAGCAAAGGTGGAGAAGTTTGTGGCAGGGCTCAACTATGAAGCCCGGAAAGCGTTAACTGTAAGCAAGCCTAGAACTCTGAAGGAAGCTTATCTGAGCGCGACCGATCTGTATCGAGTGCAACAGCTGCAGCGAGGGTCTTTTGAGTTCGCCAAGAAGAGAAATGAAGGAAGTGGGTCCCACAGTTTCAAGAAGTCGAGACAAGACTTCCGAGCCAGACCCGCACCCTCTTCACCTCAAGGATCAGCTCGGGCCGAGAGTGGAGCTCAAGAGAGGACTTTTGCATGCAAGAGATGTGGGAAGGACCATGTAGGGAAGGATTACCAAGGACATGCACTTTGATGTTTCAAGTGCGGGGAAAGAGGCCACAAAGCTTTCGTGTGCCCTCTCCAAGCTAATTAGAGAGCCTTGCCATCCGGTGTGAGACCTAGTGGGCCCTCGGGAGGGTGTTCCGGTCGAGGTGTAGCTAGGGCGAAGCCTTCGGGCCGAGTGTTCATGATGGGCCGGTCACAGGCCGAGTCTGAGTGTTTGGTGGAGGAAGAGACGGCAGGTAACCTTTCTTAAGCTTACCTTTACCTTGAGAGTGTGCCTTTCTTGTGTTTTCCTTATCCTTTGCTGTGTGATCCTCTTGTATCTTTCGAGTGAGTTTTCTCTTGTGATTTTATTGTTTATTCTGAGTAGTTTAATGTTAGATCTAGTCCCGAAGCCTTACGAGTATACTTTTAATTCAAACCTCATTCTTTCGGGTCATCTAAGCCTAATTTGTTAACTTAAAATTTAGAATAGTCAACCATTAGGAAATCTCTACAAGTGAAGCCTAAAAAGCTAAAAGGGTTTAATTTGTAACCACTAAGTTTCAAACCCAAGTATCCAAGTTTCTAACTCAACCTCTAAACTATCTAAACCAATTGTATTTCTTGAACTTTATCCCACCTAAATTCCTTTTAATCTATAATTTCCATCTTACCCAAAAATCCCCAAATTAAAATCTTATTTTCCCAAATTTCCCCAAATTCCCAAAACCCTTTCCTCTTTCCTTCTCCTCCACCCGCAAGTAGCAGCCGACCCACCCCCTTACCCGTCGCATCTCCTCCGCCCGTCAACCACCAGCCGCCCGTCGACTGCCAGCCGTCACGGAGGTTCGCCGCCATGAACCAGCCGCCCGTCGCCGTTTCGCCGTCGCCCAGCCGGAATCGAAGCCGCAAGCCGAGATGAAGAGAAAAAAAAAAAGAAGAAGAAGTTTGGGTCATCTCAGAATCATGCCTAGGAGGTCTAAATCCGCGAGAAGAGTGGAATGGGTGGATGGCCACTACCTAGTTTTGGAAGGTAAAGCTTTTGATCCCGACTCTTTTTCGAGTTCTTTGTTGGAGTTGTTAAATTACCAACGATTGTTGGATGTGTATCTCTCCATTAGGACCGAGACTTACCCAAGTTTGGTGAAAGAGTTCTACCGTCACATGAGTGTGACTAAAGATAGTGGAAGGTTGGAGGTTACCTCAAAGGTGGGAGGTGTGGAGATTGTCTTAACCGAAAAGTGGTTGGCTCAGCTTTTGAGTTTGACAACCACGGGAGTCTCGCAGTATAGTGGTAACTCTTGGATTGAGACAAACAACATGAGTTATCAAAATTATCTGAGTTACCCATTGGGAAGAGCTAGTGGGTTCACCCAGGCCACGAGGCCAGATAGGAAGTGGTTATCTGCTGATCAAAAGATTTTGGTCATGCTCGTTTCTGATTGCTTGTTGCAGAATAACAATAAGATTCGTTTGCTGGGTTAGCTAGTGCACGTTTGCTTTCCGTCTGAAGAATAAGGTGAAGTTCAACTTGCCTTCGTTGATGTTGCAACACATGGTCTATTGTCGAGACCATAATCGCAAGAGTTTGCCTTATGGCATGGTGCTAAACGGGATCTTCGTTAGGAAGGGGGTCAGTGTTGAAGGTTGTGTGCCTAAACCGGTGGGCAAGATGATTTTGGATGCCACAAACCTCCGCAGTTGCAACCTGTTTCAGCTGGACGATGGTGATTACATCACTCTTGAAGAGGTTACCAGAAAAGACCCTGCCGAGAGGAGTTCGTTGGTTGCAGAGCTTGAGATTCCTGTTGGAAAGTTGAACCTCGCGGTTCAGAGTTTGAGAAGAGATGCTGGGAGTGAAGGTGTAGAAGAGCGGGAAGAGGAAGAAGGTGGAGAAGAAGCAGAGGATGTTGAGGAGAGCAACTCCGAAAGTGAAGAAAACATAAGGAGAAAGGAAGTGAGAACCAAAAAGGAGCATGATGCTATGACACACGAGGAGCGTGTGGTCACCCTTCTTCGTCAGCAAAACCGGATGATTAAGGAAGGTTTCGCGTTCATGAAGACTCAGTTTGTTGCCGTCAATCGAAGGTTGGACAAGTTGGAGGCCGATTCTAACCGTGGTGGAGCTGAGGAAGACTCGGACGAGGATGCCAAGGAGTCGGAGGATGAGTCCTCTTGGGCCCGGAGTTGGGGTAAGCTCGTTTCTTTTCTCGTTTGTTGTTGCCGTTTAGTAGTTATTACTTGTTGGTTGTCCTTGTTTCTCTTTCTCATTTATCTTGTTTGTTAGTTTGTTGCTTGGATAGTTAGTTTAGTGTTTTGCCTAGTTAGAATTCAGTTGTTTGAGTGTAGGCGTGGTTTAGAAGGCTTCTAATTGTCATTGTCTTGGCCTTAGCGTTTGTGTGCTCAAGAAAATTTCTTTTGTGACCTTTTGAAACCTTGCAATTTCTTGACTTTTGCAAACCTTACAATTTCTTGACTTTTGCAAACCTTACACCTTTTGGAACCTTAAAGTTTTGGTTAAATGGAATTCTTGTTTTCTTTTTGTCACATGTTTGATTCGTTGCTACCCGTTTGTTTGAACTCGTCGTGGCCACGCTTCGGGGACGAAGCTTCTTGTTAAGGGGAGAGGATGTGACACCCCGTAAATCCAAACTCTAATCAAGGATTAATTAGAGAACTAATCCTAGTTTCTTTGTTAATTTATTCTTAAAAATCCTGATATTCAATAGTCGAGGGACTAGATTTTGACTAGTCACTTAAGTCAAAGGGTTGTACCTTGTGCTTCTTGAGTTGTGCCCTTGTTCCCTTGTCTTTCCAACTTTAGTAAGGGTAGGGATGTCTTTCTACCTAAGGTTTGTGGTTCAAGCTAACCTAGCAACACTCCTTAATTTCATTCACCCTACAATATAAACACAAAAATCCCTAGCTTCTCTCTAAAAAGGTGTAGCTTCTTCTCCAAGCTAGGATTTGGGCATCCCAAATCTTGCAAGTTGTCTTCCAAGATTCCTACTTTCATCATCTTGAGCATAGGGGAGCGTAAGATCCTTGGTCTTTTGGTGTTTTTAACTTCCTTTTAGGTGAATTTTTCTAAAGATAGAATCTTTGTTGTCTTTTGATTTGTGTACGAAGTTGGTGTGGAAGAGGAGCTTTAGGAAAGGCTTTCTAAGGGTGATAACATGAAGTTATTAGGCAACAAAGGTAACCCATGCTTAACGAAACCCATTTTCTTACTTATATGATGATTATTGGCTTCTACTTGTGATTCTTGTGTGGATTTGTGAGATTTGATGCATTATCTTGTGGTGATGCATGGTTAGAGCTTGTTCTTAGGGTTCTTGAATGCCATTGCTTGGCTATTTCTTGGGTTCAAGTCATATTGTTATTTTGTGTGAGATTTTGGGTGTTTTGGACTTGAATTTGGACTAGTTGTTGAAAATCCACGAAGGGATTATTTTGGTGTACAAGGCGTACTCGCGGGCAGAACGGCTGGCAGTGGCCTACCCGCCGCCCCACCCACGGGGTATTTGGTGCCTCGTGGGTTGGTACCCGTGGGCGGAACCGCATGTGGTTGTCTACTCGTGGCCCCACCCGCGAGGAACACTGTTGGACGATGGCGGGGATTTGTTCCCCGTGATTCTTTTGACTCGGTATTGATGTTTTGACCTCCCGATGTTATTTTATTGGGCCATTTGTGAGTCTCCTTGATCTTTCGTAGGTCTAGAACAGTGTGTTAGGAATCCATGTAGGATTTGGTGTCTTGAATCGTGCTAAGGGTCCGACTTTGTGATTCGTTGGACTATTGTGTGTCTTGAATGTTCTACGGAACTACTTTTGGTTTACCGATTTGATAAGCATTCTAGTTTGGTGTTGAAATGCTAGTATGTGTGGTTTTTTTCTTTCTTATTGGGATTGGAAACTTGTGTTGACCATCGTTTGGTGTCGGATTGTGATCCTTGTACCCTTTGATTGATACTTGATCAAGGTTATTGTGGAACCTTAGTCTTCTTGGTAATGTTGATGACTTGTATGACTATGATTGAATGTGGGTGGTTGTCACTTGAGCTTTGCTCACATGTAGGTGGTTGTGTGAATGAAATTAATGGTACCCTCGTGTACTGAGAGTTTGGCGGTATGTTGGAGGCTATGTTGGAGGGGGGACGACGGTCCTTGGCGGTACAAGGTTGGACTCGGAAGTACAGGGTGGCACTAGGAGGTAATGGTTGGAACTGAAATAAGGTCGGGGGTAACCATAAGGTTGGAACAGGCATAAGGTTGGAACTATGAAACTTGTGACATGTAGTTGTCACTGTGACACGTAGTTGTCGTTGTGTGAATGTGTATTCTTTGCAAATGAGCGTGTCTTGATGTATTCTACATTGTGATCAGTAGAATGCATCTCGAGTTGTATTGTCTTTCATGTTCATGTCTTGTTATTGTTGTAAGGATGGTGATTCCTTTTCCTTTTGAGAGTGTGAATAAGTCCTTGAAGTTTACTTCTTGTTAGTGTTTTTAAATGTTCAAAAACCCCATATTATAATTGGCAATATTATTATGGCATACTAAGATAGGTTTAGAGTTTGTCCGTCCAGCTCTAAAGACGACTGATCAATCAGAAGCAACAACAGAAGGACTGACACTGAAGATCTGAATTAGGAAGCTGTTTTCTAAAAGTCTTACGCGGTTTTATCAGACAAGTTTGGAATGAAGATCAGCGTATATTTTCCAGAAAGGTATGGACCTAATCTTCTGAGATTACATTCCTCTTTTATGGTCCTACCTTCTACAATCAAAGTCTTTTATGGAGAGAGTTTATTGAAGAATCTATAAGTACCAGTACTCGAAGAGATTTAGGGTTACGCCGAATATATGAAGAAACACTCCCCATCTGCTATACGAGATTGAATCTTTGGTTGTCATGTATCTTCTCAATACAATATGTTCATGGTGATTAAGATGATGATCTTGAGAAGAATCACTGCTGCTTAAACGAAAGGACACTGTGATCACACTGTTGTGGGAATAACTATAAAGAGCGTCATTGAAGTGGAC